CTATATAGTATCATAATATTTGAATACACTGATGAGCATAATTTGGAATATGAAATTGTTAGAAAGCAAGAATAAAACATGATACGATGATTACATTGATAACTGATATATATACCTGGATCTTTTTATTATCGGTTATAACTTATAAGAACGGAAAAACGAAACTTTCAGATAGTAGAAACTTATGTGTTTTAAGAAATAAATGAAAACGTCACCTGTTTCCATTTTATTGTGGTCATGCAACAAAAGAGGCGTGTTTGTTTCAGACTTATCCTTGTATGGTCAATCCCATTACTTGACCTTATGCAGCAAACAAACTTGCATACGGTTTAAAAAAAAGGAAGTAATGGCAATTATATGCTATATGTCGATGAGGTGGAAACCCTTCGAGACATAAACCGAGCCGCACATTGCCGCTAGCATTAAGAGGTTATAGAAATTGAAGTTGATTTGTATATTTATAATTGGCAAGTCAAACTTCGAGTTACAATCTCTTTGATGTGTTGATTCATTGTAAATTTTTAATGCACAATTTTGCCTAGTATTTCCACTAGTTGGTAATAGGAAAACGTGCCTTTCATCTCAACTACAATTAACATAGACAAGTAATGTAAATATTTGAATATGATACATTACAGATGTTAGTATGAACTAAAGCTGACAAGTTCGAGTATTTCTACGGAAAATTCATAGCATGTTTCAGTGCGGGTTGGAAAGTCTCAAGAAGCAAAGTTGGATGCTGGGTTTCGGTTAATTTTTTTTAGATCAATTCAAAGTAAAATGAAATTGCATGAAACAACTCATCCAATATACCCCACCCAATAAGCCAGACGCACGTTTTGTCTATATATGACTCATCAGAGACGATTGAATTAAAAAGTTTGGGGCCAAATCAAAAACTAATATGAAGAGCCTTAAAAACCGAAATTCGAAAAAAATGTTGTGCCAATTAAGGCTAAAGCAATGTTAACCTGGGGATAGAAAATCTTCAGTGTTTCGAATAATGCAACATTATATATATAGCCAATTTTCAGAACATAAACATTTTCGAAGTCTATTGAAATCTTCAAGCTATTCCATGACAGTGCTTGTACCAAGTCATGAATATGGCAGTTGTTTTCCACTTGTTCTGTTGATTGATAGCGTTTGAATTTGTCAGTTTTTATGGATTTCCTCTTTTTGATTTTGCTTTAGAGTTCAGTATTTTTGTTATACTTTTTTTGCAAGCTTTGGTGTTTAAGGTAAATAGATTCAAAAACAGTTCGATTCGGAAACTATTCAAGTACCCATTCAAAATGAATGAAACATATGTTTTTGCCTCTTTGATGAGATTTTGTTTGTGCGGTTTTTGGGAGGTATTTTGATGGCAATCTTTTGACTAGTTATCAATTGTCTGGTTTTTTGGAATTAAGTTTATGAGAGATATTTGAATAAAAGTTAACTTCTCACTCTTTTAGAATCAGAGTGACCATGATATTTACAGTTCAGTGTTATTCTGACAAGTAAATTGCAGTTGAAATTTCAGTGCGAAACCAATGCATACTTGAAATATATAAGAACTCCTACTTTAATCTGGACTGAGTGACGTGTAACCCCTTTTTATTGCATTAGCTAAATCACTTGTTATCTGCAATCCTAAACCACAAAATAATGTGTTTAGTTTTAATTAAGTTTGCATGGTCTCCTGTCAGATTACGTGTGGCAGGATGAATATAATTGGACGATGCATTCTTTACGGCCCATCAGCAACCTAGTGGAGTACAAATGTTACTTCATGTGATTTAGAAAGGCGAAGGGACATAAAACTCATAAGTTGAAAAAAAACTGACAACGCCATGGCTAAAAAAGAAAAAGACAAACAGACAAACAACAGTAAATAAAACAACATAGAAAACCAAAGACTGAGCAACACGAACCCCACCAAAAACTGGCGGTGATCTCAGGTGCTCCGGAAAGGTAAGCAGATCCTGCTGCACATGTGGCACCCGTCGTGTTGCTCATGTAAGTACAAACCCGGTGATATGTCTAATTCGGTAGGTCACATTCGGGGGAATGGTGACGAGATTGTAGTTACAACAATTGGAACATATCTACACTAAGAGTAGATGTGAATGCAGACACAGGACTTTAAATATTTCAATCCTTTATGGGTTGATTTAAAATACATATATAAGTAAGCAATGAATGTGGTTGTTAAATTTGATAGATGCTTTTTGTGCTTCTTTGTTAATTGTTTGTTTGTTTTGAGATTGTGACACAGTGATGACTGCTGTACCCATATTTTGACGATGTTACCTATTATGTCTGTTTTGTTCACGCATCGTTGTAAATATAATAGAATTTGATGCGACTGTCATACAAGTTATAGGTTAAGCGCTATAAAACCAGGTTCAATCTACAATTTTCTACATTTGAAAATGCCTGTACCAAGTCAGGAATATGACAGTTGTTGTCCATTCATTTGATGTGTTTTATCATTTGATTTTGCCATTTGATTAGGGACTTTTCGTTTTGAATTTTCTTCATAGTTCAGTATTTTTGTGATTTTACTTTTTATCCGTCATCATCTGTGAAATAGATATTCCATAACGATCAACCAACTCATGATGGCGTTCGTAAAAATTACAAAGGGATGAATTCAACTTCACCACTTAGAACTCTTGTTTTAACAGCTTCCTTGCGAGCAGCAACCCTCTATCAAGGAAATCATGATAGAAAACACAAGCACTGAAATATCGTATCAACTGGGATATATATACTACGTATGCAGGTGCTGCTGGAATGTTGCTTCATAGAAATGGAAAGTTCACAATTGGGAAGCTGAAATCATTTTTTTTGTCGTGAAGTTTTGTTTTCAACTGACCCTCATTGTCGATAACCTATCAAAGCAAGTGTCATTTCTATGGTTAATTCTGCCTGACAGGTTTACATTTTTAGTTTTTGTGAACAGTGGCAGTAAATAAATCATACAAGTGAGATATTTAGCTAGTTATAAAACCAGGTTTAATCCACCATTTTCTACATAAGAAAATGCCTATACAAAGGCAGAAATATGAAAGTTGTTTTCTAGTCGTTTGGTGTGGTTTAGATTCTGATTTTGCCATTTGATAAGGGACTTTCCATTTTGAATTTTCCTTGGAGTTCGGTATTTTTGTTATTTTACTTTTGAACAATGCAACGTGCCAACTGTTGGTCGTTTAATATCTCTTTCTTATTTAATTGATCAGAACCCCAAATAAAGTACATTTTGAAATGTTATCCGTGCTGGAGTTTTATATGTTGAATTTAAGAAAAAAAAGTAAACAATCACTGCTGCTAAATAATTTATTTGAAATCATTATCAAGTGTTGAGTGGACTTTTTGATGTTCTCTTCGACAAACTGTCAATATAGGCTCGACCTTTAGTAACCTGTAAAATGAATAAAAAATCATAGACGTATAACAAAATGTATCGAATTGTCTATCATGACAACCATGTCCATTTCTTTTGAAATATAAAAAAATGCCAGTAAATGAAAATGTCATGGCTTTTTTTTTTCTTCCACATTTTGATAGTCTCTTTTGTGTCTTCCCCTCTTATATGAAGATTGAGTGTTGTATTTAATGCAACTGATATTAAAAAAAAAACTTTTTCATATACACTTTTATTTCAATGACTTATTATCAATCAGTGTACATTTTGGAAATTTCTTGCAGTTAGGTTTACTGAATTGAAATCAACATTATTCAGTTGTTGTCTTGGTTTATATCGGTTTAGTTATACTGCTTAAATGAATGGTCCAAAATTTCAACATTAATATTACAAATGTCCAACGAGTAAGATTGTGTTTAAAGTATATGGTTAAATTTAATTTCATTAGGTGTTCTTTCTTAAGTTTTGCTGTTCTTTTTTTTCTGTTTTTATTGTTCTTAGATGTTTCCATGTAATCAAGATCGAGAAATATCAAAAGTGTTCCTGTACAAGCCAAATATTTAATGTTGGCAAAATTGGAAAGCTTGACAATTTATTTTATTTAAATCAACCCTTTTTTCAATTAGTGAATTGTTTTAATATCAGAACTGAAATATCTCTATATGTAATTCATCTTTACGATCACAATTTAACATGCATAACCAGCAGTTGTTTAGTTAATTTCGGAAGTGCACACTAACGTTGCAAATGATTTTTGAATAGATTTCATCAGTGGATTGTATATGTCAAAAGGTGCAAAAGTTTATTCATTTCAAACCATGGATTACAATGATTTGTGATGTTTAAATGATATGCTTATAAGGGTTTTTAGGATTTCGTGAAAGCAACTTTACATAACAGTTTTTTAAGTATTGTACGTTTCATGAACGAGTATTTTAAGGTCAAGTCAAACAGGTTGATTTGGTGATCAAAAATTAGTCAAAGACTAAAAAGCTGGGTTGTTCAGATCGTTTCGTAAACAATATAGAATGGTCTTTAATGGACATTTAAATTTATGGAAAAGGTAAGATGTGAAAATGGGGAATATAATCTTTACACAACTCCATAATGGAATATCCACAACCTCAATAAGTGTGTAAACTCTCAGTGAAGTTCCAAAGATCTGGATTAAAAACAAAGATTATTATCATCTTTTGAAAATGTTGGCTGAAAATCACTGATTAAGCGCTCAAAAAATATGTTTAACTCCGACAAATTCTCTATGTGTCTGTCCCAAGTCAGGAGCCTGTAATTTGATAGGGCTTTTTTGTTGCTTGCTATTATATATCTGATTTTCATTTGTTTTTTGTCAATAATGAGGCCAAAGTGTTTGTGTTTTTTTATTATTGGTTCACATTTTGTCATGTGGGTGCATTTAATAGATGACTGTGCTGTATGGATTTTTTCATTGTTGAATGCCGTTTTATCATTATTGCTTATATCGATCTTATTTAGACTTTGGTAGATAGATGTCTAGCTACATCTCCTTATTTAATATTACTACTTACCACTACGAAGACAACATCCATTGTAAGAACGACAATTGTAGTAATCTTTCTTATTATAATAATAGTAGCCTTTGTTGTTATAATAATAAAAATCGTCAGGACAGCTGTATTTGTTTGTGCAGTAATATTTTACTCTGCCGTATGGGTTACCTATGGGACAAAAATAAATGATAAAAGAAAAGTTGAAAAAGATAACTGTTTAAATTACGCAAATAAAACCAAAACCATTATTTATACCTTCAATACAAAAGGAAATGAATTACTAGATAAAAATAGTAATCGTCAGGACATCCGTATTTGTTGGTGCAGTAATATTTTACTGTGCCGTATGGGTTACCTATGGGACAAAAAAAAAGATAAAAGAAAAAGTTGAAAAAGATTACTGTTTAAACTTCGCAAATAAAATCTAAATCATTATTTATACCTTCAATGCATAAACAAATGAGATACAAGATATATATTGTGGATGAATAAAACGGTAACCTATATTATAAACTTTTTCATCATTCGGTCTCTAATAACAAGTTGTCTCATTGGCAATCATACCACATCTTTTCTTATTTTTATACACACACGTTTTCATTTGCATTTGTATTTTTTTTTTTTTAATTATATATGTTTAACAAAACCACGATAGATAGCAGTCTATAATGTTGTACACCAGACGCGCGTTTCGTCCACAAAAGACTCATCATTGAGATTTGGATCAAATGATTGGAAGGCCAAATTAAATTGTAGAGGTGTAAGGAATGGGATTTCAAAGAAGGAGCAAAAAACCATATACAAAGCTTTAAAAGGCCCCGATATGAAATGCACAAGTTTCAAATAAACGAACATTTTGAATAAAAAGATTGATTCTGATGTGATTTGATGCAATGATTTATTGTTGTACTGTAACAGTTTATTTTTTATCAATTTGCAGATTTTCCTTGTAGTCGTTCAGCAAAATAGTAAGAAAAGGGGGGACAACGATCTGAAACTTAATCCATCACTACTATGAAAAAAGCAATTTTAAGAAAATTATATTAATATATATATGAATAATGATCGTGTTGTTTTTCTCGTACTTCGCCCGTGTATTGCGGTATAAATTGTTATTATTTCATTTTGTCAAAAAATATTCTCAGCTGTATCAAACACTCCCAAACAGGTAACTATAATGACTGATTAACTTTGTCTTTTGAGATGGTCACCACTATAGGCTGCAGTAGTATTGGTAGTTACCATCGTATTGACTTTTCTAACACGTCTTATAAGTTGAATAGCAGTGACGATCCAAAATTCCGAAAGGTTTGACAAATACAGCAAAGTAAATACAACTCAAAAAATCTTTTTTAAAAAACACATCAGGTGAATACATCAAGCATTGAACACAGGTACGATCAAAAGACATCAACTGCAACATATCAAATATATCTTGGCATAGTTGACAAGTCAAATATTTTAATTTCAATCTCTTGAGGTAATGTATTGACTAAAGCAAATACATTTTCTATGTTCACGATTTAGAGTTTTTATCGCTTCGAAATGATTGAAATGAAGTTTATCATTCATGCAGTCGAACAAGCTTTTATTGTTGGTGTGTCTTGCATCTGTTCTTTAAGTTTTCTATTTCAGTTTGAATGAGGTCTTGGATACAAGCACTGCGGTAGTATCTATTATTGTCATTGCTGTTGGTAAACAGGTGATATCTAAAGATGGTTATACTCACGCGGAAGACAGCATCCAGCATAAGAGTTGCAATCATACTTGTAAGACCTAGTGCCATAATTACAATATCCTGTGTTGCCATAAAAAAAATATCCTGATCGACAACCCTTATTAGAGCAATATCCTCTGTAATCATAATCACCGCGTCCAGATTTAACTACAAGCAGACATTTAAGACATTTGTAAAAAAAAAAAGGAAATGAAAATGAAATTGCATTTTTATACAAAAACAATACACTTCTTTTTTACAGACACCAGGTGTGTAATAAGTACATTTGTATAATGTGCAAATGTTCGTACCGCTACGTACAACGGAGACAACATTTGCTTCTCCTGAACAAGCTCAAAGAAATATGTGTAAAGATAGAGGGATAGACGATTTTAATTTCTTATGCCTTCCAAATCATTTTATTGCATGGTCATTTTTTTGGACTGTTTTCTGGCAATAATGAGACCTTACTTTATATCTCAAGATAGTAAAGAAAAAAATATGTAGACTATAGACTTACGAACTCTAAGACACTGTATTAAGAATGTGTTGTCACCAATACTATTAAAATGGAATCCGCTTGTATTTAGGCTGCGTTATGAACAAAGTGTAGTAGTCAGCCGAGAACCAGCTTACAATACAATAATCATTAATCATTTTTCTTGTCTGCAATAACGTTAATTTTTCTACACTAGAGACGGATTTCGGCAATAAATATCTTCTTCATTGATCATCGAATCGAACATATTTGAAAATACAACACTTAGGAATGAAATGCAAATTATGAAACTTCTGCGAAATAGGAAATAAAATTATGAAATTTAAACAGTGAACGATTTTTTTTGCCTTTACAATTTTTTCAGATTCGTTCATCGGAATCATAGGCCCTTATCAAAGGTCAAAATTTTTAAAACCATTCCTTTTAGAACTCTACAGAATAGATATATGAACAAACATGAAAAACTACTTGAATAATAAATACAGAAAATGTGAAAACTAAAGCTCTCTTACCTATTCCGCACAGAGCGGTGATCACAAAGACTGCGAGTATCATCTGGATTGACTTCATCTTGCAATTGGGTGAACTTGCATGTTGATGCTGCTTTAAATATGAAATAAAAGTCTTTTTTTTTCAAACAGATGTTTCGCTTATCATATGCAAGAATTAGCATGACATACTTAAAAATTGGATTTAGCTATGAAACAACTACACATGCATGTCAAAACTTAAATGAGAAATTCCTGTAATAATAAAAAAAATTAAATCTTTCTTTGTTAGTATATAAATCGTGTCTGGACACAATTTTAGTGTTGATGTATTTACATATTGAAACAGGGTGATAGCATATTACATGTATAAGTAATTTTATTTTACAATACATTAACAATACAAGCAATTACAATTATGATATTGGATTAAATCTGCTTTTAAAGCGCATACTCAATCTGCAGTTTCTGCAGTTATGAAAATATGAATACACAGAGATTAAACATGACATTCAGGGAGAAATCTAATGAAATCTAATTTTAAACACTACATTATCTGGGTCACCGGCAGAAGACATGTGAATATTTACTAAACCAGGCTTAAAAATAAACTTTGACTCTCTGACGATTTCATATTTTTTGGAATGAGAAAGTCATACCTGTTTTAAAAAAGTCTTATTTGATTATGCCGTTTTTATGAGGATTTGTTTCCATTCAAACTAACAGGATTTTTCTGTTTGGAGGACCCTTTTTTTCCTTTGAATTTGGTAATTATCATGTTTTTGGTTGTTGATCTTTAATTACTTCTATATTGGATACCAAGTACAAAAAGAAAACGAACTTTAAAAAATGCATTGTTTTCTCGTTTACATTATTTCCTATTTTTAATGTCGGGGCCTTTTATAGCGGATGATACGGTATTCGTTTCTCTCATTGTTGAAGGCCATGTGGTGACCTATCATTGCTTTCATCGACATAATTTGAACCCATTGGATGGTTATCTCATTGGGAATCATTCCATATCTTCTTTTTATTTTTTATATTGATGGCGATTTAAACGCGACATTTGAATAAACACTTTTTTATAGTTGAAAATGATATGTCGACCCTCTCATGTCCTTTAGATTTATGGATCGTATTGTTGCTGTCTATTTTGCGTATAATCAGTCTCTTCTTTTATTCAAAAACACACAGTACATTCCATAATGCAAAAACATCTTCAAATTGGTATATAGCCAGTCAACACTGAGGTTGTGAGTTCGAATCTCGCACGGGGCAGGTGCACTCGACTCAAATCTTAATTGACTAGGATTGTCAGTTTTCGATGGTCGATGGTTCTCTCCGGGCACCCCGGGCTTCCTCCACCAATAAAAACTGACCGCCACGAAATAGCACAATAGTGTTGAAAGTGGCGTTAAACACCAATCAATCAATCAATCACCATATTTTATATTGTATTTAAAGTCTTAGTCATAATTTTGATTATATTTCTGTAATTCTAACAGTATTCTTTTTCGGGTTTTCTTTGTGTTTTATTTTATTATATAGGTAACCCATGCAGCAAATTCAGTGATTACTGCACCATCAATTTCGGATGTCCGAAAGATTACTATTTTGATAAAATCAAATGGTACGATTATGATGATACCAATAAGTACTACAATTGTCGTTTCTACAATGAATATTGTATTTGTTTGATGTTGTTTTATCTTCATTAGTCCGTTTTCTCAGATAAAATTACAAGCAATCGTCACAGGCCGTATTAAAGCCTTTTTACGCTGATACGGAGTAAAGTAAACACCAATCCATCACAGAGACTAGCATGTTTTTTATGTATACACATGTTATTTGTCAAGTTATCAAGCATATCAGGACGCCTTCCGTATTTTGTTTTATTTTTGAAAGGTTTATTAATCTTAACGCTTAGATTGTCGGCCAATGAATATGACAGTATTGATTGTTTGTAATATTTCTAACTCTGTTATAGTCTTTAATTTATTGTTATCACCCCGATCTTGTTTTTTTTTTTTATTTTCCACAAGAGTAGCGTATTCGACGTATAGCATAAGATTTTCTTACTTTTTATATTAAACGAGAGCGGAGATTATTTAGTTCGCTTTATTTTTTTACCCATAAAAGTGGCGTACATAAATATCATGCCAGATTGGATAGAAATATCATCTTTTTACACTATGAAGAAATCCCCTAAAACTTTACCCAAAACAGTTAAATTGCTATTTTCTCAATACTACAATAAATGTTTTAAAAAGAAAAAAAAAGATACCAAGGGAACAATCTCAAATCATGAATGAAGGAAAGTAAGACAACAACATGAACAAATCAAAATAGTCAAACAGACAAACAGTAGTCCACTAATTCTATACCGAAATGTGCAAAATAACACGACCGGTTCAACATTCGAATGAATTAAATTGTTTTCACCTGAAGCTGTTATTAAACTAAT